AGAACGTTAGCAGTGACCTCAGCTAACTATACAGCCTGCAAAAGAAAATGTATAGATTGAAAGATTAGTATTATCTAGAGAAGTAAACAATTTGACAAAACAAGAGAAAATTAACTTAGTAATTTAGAGTAGAAATCTGGTAGACGCTACTAAATTACTCAAATTTTTCATGATATAGACCCTGCAAAACCTCGATGTTTCTCCTGTTTTTTCTCAATTCATTTTTGCCTTGAAAGGAAAAAACCACTCTTTTAGCATAAAAATTGAATATTAAACTGCAAAATGTTGAGACTGATACAAAACTGTCAAGTTAATAGTTGACAACAAAGTGATTTATTGAATACTCCAGTTTTAGAATTTGTTGTCAATTTTTTTTTCTTTACTGGCAAAACGGAAATGCGAAAGGTGGCTAATTTGCTGTTTTAGGCTCCATCGACGATAGCTCAAAGTGCGTATTCGTGACTTTCTTGATTTATCCATCCAAAATGGTCGTTTTCAAGCTGGCAATTACCATATCGTATTTTTCAACACTTCCAGCATTTTTATGACTTTATTTATCAACGCTATTCTAAATTTACTTATTTTTTTATTATAAAAACGCCTAATTCTCTTTGATAATAAAAACCTAAGAAAAAGTAGCATTACCTAAAGATTAAAGAAAAGCAAGATTAATATATACTCAAGCAGTTGTGTAAAAAATTTTAGAAGAGTAAAAACTACTTGAGTTTCTAAAAACCGCTTCTTCCACATTATTTTAATTCTCCTAAGCAATTATTTCCATCTGCTCAAATTCAAAGACAAAATACTAGTCTGCTGCGTCTATGTATTTTTTTCTACATTTTCAGTCTTCTTGACTTGTCAAATTTTTTCTCAAGAAGACAAAAAGCGTTGTATCGCCTATACAGCTCATAAAACTCTAGTTTCGCTTTTTCAGAAATTTAGTGTGCATGATCACTTCTCAGACTACTGCGACTTTTTTAAAAGCTCACCTAAACAAGCCAAATTTTTTTAATTGCTAAAACTTTTGATTTCACTAAACCGTCACTGTAGAAAAAACTTTTTTTTTACTTTACAGACAGTCATAAAACTTGAATTTATAAATATGTAAATGAATTTCTTCAAAACTGCTATTATAATTAGACCTCTTTATAGACCTCCATAAGAAAAACTTGTTCAAAAGCATTCGTTTGTAAGCACATATAAAAAAAAAGTTATAGTCGTAAAATTTTATATATTCTGCTAAATAAGCAAGAACTGTGCATGATAATGGCATTTTAAAATCGTCATAAAAATGCTCAACGTCAAAAAATATGTATCATTTTACTCAAACGTCACTCGTCCCGACAATCTTTAAAGCTTGAAACTTTTCACATTTTATTAAATAGCTCACACAAATGACCAGTCAAATCACGTAAATAATCTAAGCAAAGGCAGAAATAAGATTCGGAGAGGTAAAAATAGTTGTAAAAGCTGTAATATCAACAAGTAATAAAAACTTACAAAAGAAACGATATCAAACAAATAAGACAAATTCTTTCTGCTTGTCACTGATCAGACGACGAACTTGAAGGGTCGTAGATCATCGCTAAGTCATGTAAAAGAATCGTTTAAAAAATCATTTACAATACCCTGCATCCTTCAGAAGAAAAAAAAAAGTGTCATCTGACTAGAAATAGTTTCAAGATTTTCTATTAATCTGCGTTTCTGAACTTCCTAAAAAGCGCTAACAGTAAATGTTAAAACACTTATAGTTTTAGAAATTTTTCTGAAAAGGTAATAAAAAAATACGCTGTAATAAGCATGCAATATGACGATAAGTGTTATTTTATTTAATCAAACTTTACAACTAATAAATAATATAGTGTATGTTTCAGAAAGCATGTCCTCATTAAAAGAAAATTTAGCAGGTGAAACTGTTAAAAGCCAAAACTAGATGCCAGTACGTATGATGACTTCCTCTACTAAAGAGTACAAATTTATACAGAAATTCTCAAGGTACATGTAAAAAAAACACCAGTAGTTGTCCAAAAAAAAAAAAACCATCAGCTGTTGTTCAGCATCTCATAACACACGAATGATCTTGAGCTGTATAATATAACATTTACCGTTCAATCGTATTGCAACGAATGCTTTATAATGGTTTAAAATGTGTAAAATATTTAAAACTTTTTCAACTTCTAATAAAGTATTAAAACTTTATAACAAATCCGCCTTCATTAAAATTTTTTGGCTATTACTGCCAACCAGCCAGCTGTTTTAAATAGAATGTTCAACTACTCTTGAAGATTTACGTTTATTTCCCAGTAATTTAGTGTCAGAGCTATACCTAACACAGCTATTTCTTATTTTATTAGGTTGTTTTGCAGTTATATTAGCTTGCAAGTATACCGTCGGTAATACCTCCTGATTCGAAGTTTTCATAAGCAAAGGAAAAACGAAACCGAACAATTTGTTTAGACTTAATAGTTGCCAATTTACTTTAACAGTGAATTCAGTTTCAAAAGCAATGTTTTACTTTTTGAAGACTTCGCTTAACACAGCTGTTGCTTGATGAAATTTCTCAATAACCGCTCTTAGTCCAACAGCGACCAAAGTCATATCCGCAAGTGACAGATGTTGCCATTATTTAAAGACGAAAGTTACAGTTAAATATGGTATTTTTACCTTAGAAAATAACAAAAAAACTGAAGACTTTTTCTTCTACAAAAATACGACTTTTTTTTTTCAAAAATTTCTTGAAGAATGTAGGGTAAAATTTTTAGTGCTGCTTTTTGACGATTTCATTCTACAACAACACGTACATTAATTTGTGGGTTATAAAAGAAGGGCACGAAGTCAGACCTCCCAATGCAACAAGAAGTTTAAACTCGAAAATAAAAATTATGATGAGCTTGATAGTGATCATAAGGTACTTTAAAAGGAATACAGTCATTTAATAACTTGATTCAGATATCAAAAATAGACTAGCTTATTTGATGCCTCTGTGTCCACTCATAATTTTTATAAGAAAAAATACGTTTATTATGCAATTCGCTTTTCCCTATAACAGAAACCTTAAAAACAATTGATTACCTAAGTTTATTATAATTTTCTTATTCTACCTACTCTCTTTTCCCCTATACTCGCTAGCTTGACAAAAATTTAAGAAACTTCATTTCTCAAATTTCTCTCTCTGCTCCATAATAATGATGTCAACTTCTGCCTGGGAAAACATCGACTGGTGGAAAACTTTATATAAAAAAGTCTGGCTAAGCTTCCTAAAATAGCAGCAATAAGAGACTCATTTCAAGCGGTACAGTTTACATGCAGAAACACTGTACTTTAAAAAAAAGCCTAGCACAGTATTAAGCTCCTCACCGTGAAAAATAAATACAAAAATTTTTGTTACTGTAGCAGGTGAATAGTGCAGAATTAAAACGATACAGAAAAAAAACAGGATAGATTTCAAAGAAATAACCCAATTAACACAGTAAACGCCAAACTGCAATAATGGAAAAACGCATTTTTCTTAAATTTTTATCACGGAATTTCCTTCTCCTTCCCAAAAAAATCTAAACTTCTCTTGGTTTTTTACAACTCATTTCTGCTTTTAAAATCTTTACAAACTTCTCAAATGTCTGCCTTGCTCATGCTGTACAGTAAACTCCTTACTTGCACATTTTGAAAAAACTAGCTGACGAATCAACCAGGTAGATTTTATATATGAAACACCTATTTAAACGTCGGTACCTGTTAAAAATACTAAAAAAAGACTCGCTATACCACTTCTTCCTCCTGAAATTTTTTGCTATTCCATGTAAAATATTTCTACCCAGATGCTTTTCAACTTTCTTCAAAATTAAATTTTAGTTTTCTGTGGCTAAAAATCTTAACTGGTCAGACTTTACAAATGCGAGTGGCTAAGACTGATTTTGTAGTGGTGTAATTAAATTTCAAACTCTCAAACATTCTTGTAGTGTGCAATACTGAGCTGAGACTCAATTCAAGGGAGAGTACTCGCAGATCCTTTGTCAAAAAAGTTTTGTTATTTACATCAAAATTGTAAAAAATTTTATTTTTTCCCCTTGTTTTTTTAAGTCTAAACAAGTAGAAAAAAGCAAAGGAAAGATTCAGCTAAAGAGATCAACCAAGACTTATTCTTAATCTTGGCTTACGCCTACAAACACAAGAGAACGACAACAGATAAACCAGACCATAACGACGATAGAGCGTAATGACAGGTTTGACCAGATAACGTGGAACTCAACCTGCTTTAAGAGCACTAACTGCCGTCCGTTCTGGATACCATAATAAAGGACAAAATACGTCTAGCTGTTTGTATTACAATCGTTACATTACAAAAACCTTTAAAATTTCTGAGTAGTATAAAAATAATGTAATGACGAGCAAGTATAATAAAAGGATAAAGAACAGAATAAATTCAAAGCTGAAAGCAGAAAAAATCATCCAATAAAACTCCATTCAACAGTGCTCTTAAAAGCTGACCGGATATGATCGAAAAAACAAAGAGACAAAAATTTTGAAAGCCTACTGCTTTCAGTTGAGCAAAAAAAACAATTGAAGACTGATTAAGAATTAAGAAAAAATAGCATTATACAGATTTAAAATATGCTTCAATCAAATAACCAAACAATCCATTACATTAAATAGCAAAAATAGACAGAATGAGAAAATTAATGATGAGAACTACCCGTAACAAAAATATACTTCTTATGTACATACAATGTTTGCAAATTACACTTAACAGTAAGAGATAAGTGCCATTTGAAAATCTTTTTTTTTTCAAGCAATTCTTCACCAAATCCATTAACTTTTAAATACACAAAACTGGCTAACTCGTAGCAACAAATTGAATTTGCTGAGTTAAAAAAGCTTAATTGAGCCTATTTCCAAACAATAAAAAAATAATTGCAGTCTAAACCATTAGAATTTCTGATTTTATCGAAATAATTTGAATTATAGACTCCAAATAGCACGTTTATTAAACTATAAGTCTATTTCACTAAACAATAATTTCTCTCATCACTCGTCTTCCGCCAGATACTGAGCATGATGCTTCATCACTGTCCTCTTGATCTTCATAAATTGTTGTCGGAAGGCCTTCTAAACTGCTCCTCTGATCGCCAAATGGTTGAGCGTCACACGGCGGAAAACTGTAAAAACCATGATGGTTTTAACTCAAACAGTCTTAAATTATATTGAGGAAGTGTGATAAAACATCTCTAATTCCCACTTGACGTTGTACTTAAAATTCAAAGCTGAAAACATCCGTTAGACCGTCTGACTGTAAGACATATATTTTTTCATTACTCATTAACTCTTTCCGGCAGATACAGAGAGAACCTGATTAAGAAACTTTTGCAATCAACACATACCCCTCATAAAAAAAGTTGCCACTCTGCAAGGATGGCGGCCCAGGGAATGCATCTTTTCCGGAAATATACTGGCTGCCATAGTCATGGGTGTACGGATCATTCGAAAAGTCATTAGCATCACTTGAACACCACTCATTGACAGTCATGTCATATGGCCTAAACGCTATTTAATAAAAGACATATGGCACAACACCAACACCTTATCCCCGAGCGATTTTTGAAAAAAAGCTAACAAAATCCACTTCAAAATTTGAAGAGTGATGAGAAAGCTTCGTAATGCTCACGCTGAGTTTTCTGGAGGACCATTTGCACTTTGCTGTCCAACAGGCTGATTGTTGGGCAATGAGCCGAGTGTGAATATACCACTGTCTGAATGCGAACCATGCACTACGGCATTTTTGCCATCAGCTTGAGGTAATGGAGCGCTGACGTCCGGTCTTCTAAATAAAGTGAAATAATCCAATGAAATCAAACTTTTACGAAAGCAGCAAACTTACTTTTTGTCAAAAATTGAGCGTGTCCTTAGCTTTGCCTTCCCACATACGAGATACCTCCTTAAGAAGCAACAAGCTAATAATGTTAACACAAGTAGGAGAACGGCGAATGCAATGACAGCAAGAGGCAATGCGTATTTCCATGCTGACGCCAACAAAGTTGCAGTTACTAAAATAGTACATTTATCAAAAGATAATTTCTGAAACGGGTGTTCTCCAATCACAACTGCATCAAAACTCAACTAATCCGCATTTAACTTACCAACAATATCTGCAGGCCTTGAACATACAGAAATGTTCCCTTCTAAGCAAAACCTAGCGCGAAATTGAGCCGCTGAATCAATATTTAAAATTGGTGATTCAAAAAAGCAACCAACTGATCTCCAATTTGGTTCTTTTTCCTCAGATGCTTCTTCAGTACTAACTAGAAGCAGTAAACAAAGCCCGGTCATGTCTGGATCCTAAAACAGAACTTATAAGCTGTAGTTCCAGCCGCAAGAAACATCAAGCAGTAACCACAAAAAACCTGATACCTGGAATCCAACTGATCTCTGATTTGTGTTGTAAACTAGCGACTGCGGTCGTGGTAATCGTGCCACTTCCATAACATCTGCTGTCAAGGCAGTAAGAACGGGGGTCCACTCGCTTTCGCCAAGAGTATTACCAGCGCGAATTCTTACCCAGTAATTCGAAAGCGGAGTTAATGAAGTGATATTATAAATCAAAAATGTTGTTGGTTCTATATACCGCCGATAGCGCCTGCCAAACTTGCTACCTTCCTAAAAGAAGTTTTG